AACGCTTAGCACCAACAAATATGCAACGTCGGGTAAAGTTAGAAACAATACATATGCAACATCCGGTTAGACTTTCAAAATAAAACGCTAGCGTTTTGAAACACCATTTTAAAACGACATGTTATTAAAGTTGTGAAATGTTACAATTTGGTTAGGTTTAGGCAACAAAATTATTTGGTTATGGTTATGAAAAGATCATGGTTTGAGTTAAAATAACTACATACGTCAGTTTAGACGTAAGTTAACAATTTCCGTAACTTAAATAAAAATATATAATGTTGACTTTTTGTTTCACATTGGACACAAACTCCGGTCTCCTGGTTCAAAGTCCGAGTTCCGGCCCTCCATCCACCCCAACCACCTCCTTACTCAGTCTTTTCTGTTAAATATCATATACCTACCTTTACCGTCAAAAACTGACACCACAGGGTTTCCCCCACTGCGTTGAACTATGACGCTATAGGGATGCCCAGTGCGTTACAAACTCACACCGATGGATCTAGATGAGTTGGAAGATTCAAAAGGGATTTAGTGACGCTTGTGCACTTAAAAGAAGGTGCTTGTTAACGGGTTTGAACCATAATGATTGATAGCACAAACAGCCGGAAGTGATGTAGTTCAACAGTGTACAAAAACAGAGCTGTTTCAACCTGGCTGACTGACCTGACCTCTTGATGCAATGAAAGAAAAAAGGATTCATAGCATGCTGTCTGAACTATGCTGTCAGTCATGTTGTCAGAGATCAAGCAGCAGTCAGCTCCCTCTTTCTCACTCGGTTTCTTATGATTCCTCATGTAGCAGCCAAACAAAAGTGCAGTTTTGTCAGTGCTCACTCCAAAACACTAAATTTAGACTGTAGTCTGGCCTGTCAAACACCCCGACAGACAAATAGTGTTTTTCCTGACTCCATCATAGCTGTTAATCGGAGATGCGTTTCTGGCAGATGTGATTTAGCACGTTGTCTCCCACTTTCTCACTTCCTCCGTTTTCCTTCAATAGAGAACTGCAATTGCAGTTCTCAAGCTGTTGCTCTTGGCTGCGTGTTATATTTGCCACTCCCCCCCTGACCCTAAAATAGATCTCTGAAAGCCTTAATAGCAGGCCCAGAGACTGACAAATTACAACAAGCTTATCAGGGTTCTCTTCAAGAGGAAACAAAGGGCAAACCCTGTCCCCATGTGGTTCAATTTAAACACTAGATTGGACCAGCAGAAGGACAGCTATTTGTTTTCATCTAATGCCTGTTCTCCTCAAGATATTACATCTTTACTTACTGCCCGTTTCCTAACTGCGCCCAATTTCAGAGGCCAATCTTATCTGTGATGTGGTAAGCATGCCTGTTTTATTGCTTCAAGGGGTTGAAAACTCGTTTAAGTGGTGATTTCATTCTGAAAGTCCATTTCACAAATCACTCCATTATAATATGTCCCGCAGTTGCAACCTACCAAACAATTTGTTTCATGCGGATTCAGATTTTGCATATGCTCTTTCAGCATGGGCACCTTGCAACAATCAGAAAGGGAATGAGCTGAACGTGCACCATCTGAGTGGGGCAGATGGCTGCTGGTTAATCTAGCATGAACCCTGGACCTGCACCACCTTCCCTCTGCTCATAAACAGTCCACAGAGAGGACTACACTGCGGATCAGTCATACTGCCACCATGTTCCCTCCCAATAGATCAGGCAATAGGTCTCAATTAGCTTAGAGACAACTAGAGATTTAGCACCGAGCAAATGAAATAACTCAACACAGCACCCTAATCTGTGTCTTATTGTAAGCAGTGCGTGGTTTGCATTGAAAGAGACTTTTTGTTCCATTTACGGTGGAGGTGTCTCTCCCTCTTAGGCAATGCAATATGTATGTAGTTACACACTCCATAATCATACACAAAAACTCACAGCTGATTTCATACAATATTTTTTACTATTTTAATAATGAAAGTGTGATGAGTCAGTTTCCTCATCAACACTAATTTAGAAATGTGAACACAGACAAGGAAACACTGGATAACTTTTTAGACCGTCCCTAAGGAGGAGGATGTTTTTTTTCACTAAAATGCTGCAGACTGAGTGTTGTTTACCTCAGCTCCTGGGTCTGTCATCATTTCAAATTTGGTGTTTTCAGTAACGCACTATGGACACATGTCCCTGTAAATAAAATGGCACATGGCTTCAGTAACCAGGAGGAGTAGCATTACTCTCCCTTTGTGTGACCGTTGCTTGGGTGACATTACTGTCAGTGTACACGTTGCCTTTTCAAATTCATACTGAGGTTTTGCAGAACGTAGGTCCGATCTGTGGTTGTGTTTTGATGTAGCCATATCTTTCTCTTCAGTTGTCCGATACGTATTGGTCAATTTTTAGACTCATAGATCCAATGAAAAAGTTTATCTTGTGGACGGAGGATGTTTTGTGAATACAGCCCCAGGTTTGCATTCAAAGAAGTTCTTTGGCATCCTTTTTTGTATCTTTTTTTGTTTCAGTAGTTTACCCACTGGCTACTTTCTTTCAAAAGTTACCTCTGTGATTTTAAGATCAAATGAAAATAGAAGACATCAGATAGAATTTCCCTCTGCATGAATCAGCTCCACAACCTGTTACTGTGGTTTTATACAATTCCAACTTAACCCAAATAAATGAGACTGCAGAGCACATTTTTCTTCTTCTGTATCCTCTCCTGAGCTGCCCCTCTTTTCTCAGCCATGAGACAAGTTAACCAAAACAAACGAGTCTCCTATGACTCACCGGCAAAGCCTCAGAAAGTAGGAAGTAAAGGTGATCGAGGGGAAGCGCCACAGAGGCCCGAAGGCTCCCGTTGCTTCATCGTTCATGCAGGGCAGCACCATGAGGGAAGAGCCGCAGGTGGCTTGCAGTGATGGATACCAGGGCGGCTGTATAATCTGTCACCCTTTCAAAAATAGTTTGAGAAGCAAGCTGTCAAAGGGCCACTGCAGAGCAGACCTTCACTGCCTGCTGCAGAACTTGAATGTCAGCTCATGACTGCGTCTGGGGACGGCCGTGCAAAATTGAAATCTCAATCCTGGTGGTGGCCGACAGAGTGGTTATTGTACAGTTTATCAGGAAGAAAGTGAAAGGGAGAGATTTGCCTCTTTCCCTGTGGGGAACATTGCCCTACATCAAAATGTAGAAGAAAAGAGCTGACATCAACATCTGAGAAGAAAGTTGTTAGAAAAATGGCACATTTTCAACATCACCTGCCTCTACGCTGACAGACAAAAATAACTACGCTTTCTAAGTTTCGGCAGCTCATTCCTTAGTGTGACGATTTAGAGTAAACGATCATTCATGGGGGGAATTTGATTAGAGAGGATATGGAAATGTGATTCAATTCAGTGCAGGGTGACATTTCTTTTCTCCTGGCCTTTTGCTCTGAGGCTTATTTATGAAGGAGTTAACTCAATTGTGGAAGCGAGGCAATAAAGACAGCCATTTTTCATACCACAATAATATTAGTACAACATGACAGCGATTATACAGGGTACTCATAATTTGCAGCAACAGGACGCTGATTTAATACAACCATTATCACAGACACTGAGGACGCTGTTGATACATTTTTTAAAGAAATTAGACAACTTATTAAATGTTGTTAATCCAAAATAAATCAGACACCTCTCGGGTGCTGTATACAGCCTGTTGATGATCCTTTACTCTCAACTATGACATTTGTGATTTTCCTCCTACTTCTTTGCATAAAATGAGGCTGAAGTAAAGGAATAATTGGCAATAACATAATAGTTTAGTGCTAATTAGCGTATGTTAGCATGCTACACTAAGATTGGTCAACATGGTAAACATTATACCTGCTTAAAGTTGTACATTTTCCAAGGGAAGTTAAGCTCTAGAATTTACCAGCATCCCATTAAATAGGAATTTAGTAAAATGTAACACTCTGCATCCACTGGTGGCCATCCAGGCAAACTTGAGGCTTGGAGATGTCTGTTTTTGGAGGGGGTCATAGGAAGAAGGAAGGTTTTTTTGGTGTTGCTAAAGTGTAACGGATCTATTGGTTATTGTACAGTTTATCAGGAAGAAAGTGAATCATTTATCTATTAGAATTGTTTACAATTATGGATGCTTATATTATGGTAAATGGTTTGTTTCTATCTGCATATGACTATATATGTCCATTTTATTCCCCTTAACTCCCGTGGAAAGTTTCCACCTTCAATATTCTCGGAATTTTACAACCCTAAACATTACTTGTTTAACATTGTCATTGTGAGTATGTCAGCATGCTCTCTATAGTTATTGAGGAAAAATATGGGAAGACAGGACATTCAGTTTCACATCAAGTAAAAGAATTTTTCTTAGAAGACACTAGTCTTGCTTCGCAATTACTTCTTGGGCTCAGCCGAAGACGGATCAACTTCAGCTGGGTCTTAAAAGACTTACTAAAAGATTACTGGACATTCAGACTGAAAACATTTCTTGAAAGCACATGGGACTGTGCTGGTCTAAACACAAGCTTAAGTTGAGCTTGAGGTTGGATTGGAGGACCGTCACTCATCCTTGGTAATTTGGCAAAAATGTTTTATGTGCATAGAAACAATTCTCTATCTGGAAAAAAAAGTGTCTCAAGTACTAGCTTTCAGATTCAGCTGTGAAATGTATTTCCCTGGGTTTTGAAATGCATGACATTTCATTGTCTGCCTAGTTCTAATTCATTGTTTCCACTCCATCACCAGCAGCCTCTATCAGCTATAGCTACCTGGTAAACACACATGAATGCTCACCTACTGTAAGACTGAAATGTATCTGCATGGAGGCAATGCTTTTGTAGGTCTGTCTAGGTTTGAAGGATTCTGTATTGACTGTGTGCAGGAGAGTAAAAATCATATTATATAATGATGTGTAATGTCAGATTTTTATTTACATTCCTCAATGTACTGTAAGTGCTGATGAGAAGCAGGCAGTTTTTTGAGGTTTGTCCTGTATTAAATTTGTTCATTTAATATGTGTTTCTGTTTGATTCTAGGTCTGAAACGGAGCTATACCTGTGAAGTCTGCAGCGTCACACTGAACTCAGTGGCACAGTACCATGCACATCTGCAGGGCTCAAAGCACCAAAATAAGTGAGTGGATCACACTACTGTTCACTGCAGCAACAGAGTTAACTATTAGTGCTGCAGTGCTTGAAGCTACAACTAATTCTTGGCACAAAATATGGTGTTTTCTTTGATTTCACTGGCATCCTCATAATCCCCTGCTTCTCAAGGAGGCCTTTGCACTTCAGATGTAGTGCATTACACAGTGCATGCATAAATGATAAGAGTATTGTAGAGCGCTGCGTTGCAGAAACAGAAATATCATATGGGCTCATTTTGCTGAGGGCATCCTATCTTAAATTTTAAGGAAAATTCTCTAATTGAGCATTTTCCCACTTTAACACTGTAGCTAGTAACTAGTTGCTGAAGTGCCTGCAAAAGCCAATCTCTAGCGGAGAATTCAACAAGTTCTTACAGTATAGTCACAACAAAGAGGCCACCTGCTGGATATTCCGTCTAGATACAAGCTGTAAAACAAAAGCTCATTTAAAAAAGCCACACAGCCAATTCCATGCTAGTCACAACAAGTAAAGTAACAACTTAAATTAATTCTAAGATGAAGCTTTTGAATATTCATGCACCATTAAGCAAATCTCCGGTTTTCCCAAACAAATGGGACTAGTACTAAAGTGAACACTGGCTTATACATTGTATCTAGATACCTTCTGTTCAGTCCTTAAAGCCCGTTGTCATCTCAGGACGTCCAATACCGACGCTTTCAGAAAAAGTGATAAAGCGTAGTTATTTGAGGTACCCTTCAGGGTCAAATAATAAGCTAGCTAGCTACGTTCATGTTAAAAGTGTTGACAGCCCCCCAAAGCCCCCTACCCTTACCATAACCATCAGAAATGTTAGTGCCTAAACCTAAGTCACTGACTTTATGCATGTCGACTGGCTAGCCTCCTTTGTGTTGCTGCGTAGCAAACGCGATTCATACGGACGCTGAAGGGTACCTTTAGCGTAAAATAATTACGCTTTGTCACGCTGTCTGAAAGTGTCGGTAATGACGCACTAAGATGAGAACGCGTTGGTCCTTATCAGTTTTTAAAGGTAAAATGTGTAAGATTTAGTGGCATCTAGTGGTGAGGTTGCGCATTGCAATCAGCTGTGTAGTACGTGGAAAGATGGTAGCGTAGCTGATTATTTATTAAAATAGAAGAAATAATCCACATATTTATATTGAGGAGGAAAATGTATAACATAAATAGGATTACATTTAGTGTGATGATCTTAAGTATATTTTTTTGTCACAATAAGAAATAAACTACCAGCTACAATAGGCTGTCTGCACAGGACACACCTTCCACTCATGTGTCGGCTGTAAAACTATAAAGTAATAGTGAGACATTTTGGAAAATATGCTTATTTGCTTTCTTTCTGATACCACTCCCATGTCTGAACACATAAGCTAGTGCTTAAGAATTGTTAGACCAGGTTAGTAAGACTGGAAGGTGGGGGAAACAGCTGTCCTGGCCCTGTCCAAAGTTAAAGGAGCTATGTATTTTTTAAATTAAAATCACTCATCAATAAATCACTTTTTTACTGCCTATTTGTCAACGGGCTGTAGCCTCACTTAGAAATAAAGCACACACCTGTTTTTTCTGTTGCTTGGAACAGCCACTATTCTGCTTCTTATTTGAAGAAATCGGGTCGGGTTCTTTCCATGCGTGCTCCCGAGCCTCTTGCTGACTATAGTGACCACAAAACACTCCCGCTAACGAAATGCAGTCCACTAACACCACAACATTAGCAGAGATCTTCCTCTGTTTGCTTTGTAATGTTCAATTTACTTATTGTAATTTATTGTAATTTTACCCATACTCCAGTACACAGCTATTCCACCGTCTCAGTCGCTGTAACTTATGTGACATCATCATATGCAATAATACAACATAACAGGGCAGTGGAAAGGGGCCATTAATTACAGTAATGGGGTGGTGATGGCACAATAGATAAGACACATGCCTTTGGTATGAGAGGCCCAGGTTCAGTTCCCCACTATGACCCTCTGCCATTGTGTCCCTGACCAAGACACTTAGTTGGATAAAAGCGTCAGATAAATGTAACACATTGTTTTATACACTAGAAAAACATTTAAAAACGACAAGTTGTGGGTTTATGAGAAGTTAAATGCTTGTCGATTTTTAAATGTAGGCCTTTTATTTATTTATTTATTTATTTTTTACGGATTATACAAACAAGATATAAAATGCTACAAGAGTTGTATCAATCTTCTCATCTTATTCTCAAGATAACAAATAAGCATAATTCCAGAAAAGTCACCCTATCCCTTAAATGGCAAGTGTTTTGGTTAAGAGTGAATTAAAACTAATTAGCAAGGGAGCAGAAAGTGTGCAAAGCAAACAAAAAAAAGAAAACAACATGCATCATCATATCTTTTATGGATTCACAGTTGCATATCCACCATAGCTACTGTTTCCTGCACTAATATACCATCAAACTGTGCAGCTGTCAAGCTCAACTGCTGTTTAAATTTTGTCCCAAGCGTAATTATTATTTGTATGTATTAGTATTCTTGGAGTCTCCTTTGCAACAATTACTTGACCTAAATCAGTTTCAGAACAAGAGGACTGCAAAATGTGTGCGGGCCCTGGGCAGTAGGTGTGAATTGATGGGGCTTACATGGTGCATGTCCTGGAATTAATTCCCCCTGTTGGCCAGTTTCTGGCTGCACACATCCACAGGGATGCTGGCATCAGGAGACGTGACATGCCATTTAACAGCCCCGTGCTTTAGTCACGGATGCCTGCACCGGAGCCACTGGGTTTCCACGCAGATCCTACAATACTGTAGCACACACACACACATGCACACACACACACACCCCACCCTGAGCATGGCAGAGGTTACACAGAATCAGACCACATGCGACCCCTAAGCCCCCACCTCCACCCCATCTACATAGCCTACAAGGTGCCTAGGGTTTATTTAGGTAATTTGCTCAATATTAGTTTACACAGAGAGAATAAAGGCTTACAAAATCATGGGGTGAAAGAGTGTAATTTTTAAACTGCAAATGCCACGGTTTTTATCAGGACGCAACTCACATGACTGGAGATGGAAGAATCATTTGTTGACCAGCAATTTTGTCAGCGATAATTACAACCATCGGTGGCAGATTTAGTCAACTGCCAAATAACATTTATTCTGTGATTTGGCTAAGATGTAAAAAATTTAACTCTCGGCTAGCCTGGCTCTTGGCTGATCTCCATGCTTGTGTGCCTGGAAATGATTTGTCTTCTCTTGTCAGTCAGTCTTTTCAATGAAATGCCTTCGGCTTTTCCATAATTGTCAGCTTTCACGCTAGCATCAATGTGATATTTTATCTTAGCCCAATACCAAAATTCTTCTAATGCCTGCTTACTGTAGTCCATTCTATATAGTCCTGTTGCATTAGCATCCTTTAGCAGGTTTAAAGGTAGAATTAGCAGCCAGCAGTGACCCTCCATCCTCAATCGCAGCACACTGCTTCAAACAAAGCTATAAAGTATTTAATACTATGAAGAGCACAATACAAACTCTGCATTTAATTTATAGAAAACCATCAGTACAGTATTGGTCAGAAAGATTTAAGTATCCTTAAATCTTTAGGCCCAATTAACTGATATCTTCAGTTATATTGATATGTTTTTTCCATTAGTGGTTACTATTTGCATGGATCACCTGGTCAGCTAAGGTTGGGAGGGGGGAGGGGGGTGGGGGGTTGTGCAGGTCTGATTAAATCACATCAATATGAAGAGGAACACATTGATGTACTACAAACAGGAAATAAAACCCTCAAGCTGCATGGCTTTATGGCTGTACTTTGATAAGATGAACTAAGGGCAGGAAAGTGATGAGGAAATTCAATTTTGACTCAGGAGAGGAACAAATTACCTGTTCATGACCGGTTTACTAATGAGGAGTGTGATCGATACTCCCCTAACGAGCCTGCTACATGAGTACAACAACTGTGAAGCTTAAACCCTCTGATTTGCTGCTGGCATTCAAAGCCGGAAACTTTAACCTAATGGACTTTGTCTTAAGATTTACTAGTTTGATTTTGCTCCATGGCATATTTCCTTTCTTTTTCACCCAGTCTTGCTGGTATGTTCTGTCATGCTTTCGCCTCCTCAGTTTCCAAACCTAAAGTAGAGGAAACCTAAAGTAGCTTCTCTCTTTTTTGACTTTGTTGGAGCGTCTGTCTTGCTAAGACAAAAATAGCTAAGTGTCTTTGTGTGGCCCGTTGCTGAGGAGGAGCTCAGTGATGAGTGCAGCGAGAAGCCAACAGATGCAAGGCTGGTGTGGCTAGTCAGTGTTAACTAAGGGAAAAGGAGAAGGAACCCATTTGACCTCTGGATAAGGACAATGTATGGAGCTCTCTCTGTTGCCCACTGTCTTCATCCAATGACGAAGTAAATACTGAATGGCAACCACTTTTCAGTCAATCAGTTTTTTGTAAGTGCTGATCTTTGCAGTGTTAGCAGGATTAGTCTTTAGTAAATGTTATGAGCTGTGACTACCAAGTCGTCACAAATGGACACATGGTCAAGACGGCTTGGCGTCAGTTTGTAACGCACTAGGAAGCCCCTTAGCATCATAGTTTAACACAGTGGGGGAAGCCCTGTAGTGTCATTTTTGAATGCTAAAAGCAGGTGTAGGATATAAATAAAAGAAAGGCCTGAGTAAGGAAGTCTGGTGTTCTTTATTCTTTTTTTTAATAAAACCTTAATTTAACCAGGGAGGACACTTTGGAACAGCTTCTTATTTACAAGGACGGCCTGGCAAGCACTTACTTGTGTAAGTGACGTAAGTAATGTTACTTAACTTACAGAAGTGAAATCATGTAAGTAAAATAGTTATTTTAACCCAAACCATGATGTTTTTCTAAACCAAAAGGGGTTCCCAGGGCTTTAAAATTACACCAAGGGTTCTTGACCGAACGTCCATTTGTGATGAGTTAGGAGTGAGAATGTGTTGGTGGGAAGCCCCAGTATTCTTCAGTGGATAATGGGATTGTTTTTACT